GGCGGCAGGAGCAGCGAGAGGCCCGCCCTCCTAGACCTGTTCCTCTTCCCACCCCAAGGGGCTCAGAAGAAATGGGCTTTCCCAAGAACAGGACATTCTGGCCAGCTGCCCCTATGGTTATGCAAAGCTTTTGACACTCGTTTCGTTTTGCTTGGGTAATTCAGAGCCATTAACTCTGCAAAAGACCCATGGAGTGATGGCCACTGTCCTCATTTCAGGACCCTCTGAGGTGGGGTGGGGAGGCAAGCTATGGGGAAGGCCATGATGAACTCTGGCACCACTGCCCCACAGCACCCATTCCAGATCTACAGTTCCACGATTCTATGCATTTCCAGGGTTGGGAGGTTCGTAATGTCTCCGTGCGCAAATGCAGCTGTGGTGCGTATGCCTCAGGGAAGAGGGCTGACGGCGTGCCACCCCCAAGTCACTTGCCCCCTGGCTCCTCGAGCACCCCTTGACGCCACCATCCTGTTCACCAATTTCTGTATTCTCAAAGGCTTTCACGGCCAGGATCCGATGGTTGTTGTAGGTTTTTCGGGCTGTCTGGCCGTGTTCTTGAGGCTTTTCTTCCTCACGTTTCACCAGTCTCCGTGGCCAGCATCTTCAGAGGACAGGAGCCAAGACTTTGAAGATGCCCATGGCCATAGAGACTGGTGAAACGTGAGGAAGACAAACCTCCAGAACACAGCCGGATCGCCTGAAAAACCTACAGCGACTATGCTCTCTATGGGTTTGTGTGTGAGAGAGAGAGCAGGGAGGGGTGTGTGCTGATGGCTTTGCCATGGCAGGGCACGGGAGCAACAGTGGCCTCCATTACCCCCCCCGCCTCTCTCCCTCCCCTGGTCTGCCTCTCGCCCTGGGAGGCTCTTTCTCCCCAGAAAGGATACAGACGGCTGAGGTGGTGGCGATGGCCAGGATGGTGCCCGTGGGGATCGACTTCTGAGCATCCCGCAGATCTCCAGACCTGTTGGAACCGGCCATGATCCCTGGGAGGCGGGCCGGGGGGGGGAGGCAAACAGAAAGGTGAGCTGGTGGAGGAGGAGGAAAAGCCGCCCAGCGGGCCATTCCCTGCTCAACCGGCAGAGGCCAACTAGCCTGGATGGGGGTGAGTGGCGCTCTGTCGCCATGCCCAAGCTGGAGCCCCTGCCCCCCCCAGAGAGGAAAGTCGGGCCCAGGAGATAGGGAGGGGGGCCTGCTTGCTTGGTGGCCTCCCTTCATGGCCAGCTGAGCTCCACCTGCAGGGCTTCTTCCCCCCCCTCCCCCCGGCAAGGCTCAGCCAGCCGAGATCCCGACCACCTCCCACGGGATCAGAGCTGGCTCAGGGCCACACACCCCAAGCTCTTTGGCAGGGAAGGCGAGAGGGCCTTGGGTGGGCCCCCTCCCCCAAATAAGGACCCCACAGCCCCTTCCCTGCCCCACCCTCAGGTCCTGGGGCTCCTGGGCAGGGCTGGGGTCGAGAGTGACCCCTGGCCTCTCGGCTTTGGCTCTGGGCAAATGCAAGAACGGCCCCGAGCCAGGAGACCTCGAATCCCGCCCGGACCCCCACCATGCCACCCTGCCTGGGGCCCCACGGACGGCACAGAAGGGCCCCCTACCTGTGACGGAGGGGAAGTAGATGCCCACCAGGAGGGTGAAGTACGAGGTCATGTCGCTGAAGACGTACGGCTGGTCCATGTCCAAGAGGCCGTCCGAGGGGGGCACGGAGGTCAGGCCCGCTTTCTCGATAATCACCCCTTTGGGCAAGTAGGAGCTCCAGAGGTTTTCTGCGGCCAGAGAGAGAGAGAGAGAGCAAGAGAGAGAGAGTCACAGACCGGGAGGGTGGCTGGGGTGTCCGCTCTTCCCTTCCTGACCATCCCTGTCCTTCTCGTCCTGGACAGAGAGAGAAAACCTCCCTCTCCCAGAGAGCCTCCCCTCCGTCACTTTCCACTGGCTGGCCCCGGAGACCCTAGGGCAGCCCCCCTCCGTCCAGCTGCTTTGGGGCTGCCTCAAAGCATGGATACCCCCCACACACACACACACACAGACACACACACAGACACACAGGCACTGCTTTGAACCCTTGGCTACCTGGAGGAGAAAGGAAAGGGGCCGGCCAGGATTGACCCGGTGGCTTTGGCCGGAACCTTTTGGCAGTACATTCCTTGGAGCCCAATGAACAGGAGAGACCACCCTTACCAAAAATAGACTGGACTGTTTACGATCTAGATAAAATACATAGAGTGGGCCCCAAACGCAGAGATCAACCCCGTCATATTTTAATTAGATTTTCAAGCTTGAGAAAAAAAGAGGAGTTAATGAAAGCGTTATGGGAGAATCCAGGAAGCTTGGTGATTGCTAAATATCCAGTACAGATTTTTAATGATTTTTCGCATGAGACAATGCAATTTCGCAGAAAAATGAGAGTTATCACATCTATTCTGCAAAAAAAAAGTGTGAAATACAGTTGGGGATACCCTTTGTTCCTAAAGATTCATCACGATGGAAAATTTAACAAAGTTATATCCGTCCAAATGGCTTTAGACTTCTTAAAGGATTCTGGAATATTAACAAGAAAAGAGTGGGAGGAGCAGATGAGGCTGATGAAGAAATCAGGGGCAAATCAGGAATCTGAGGAAGATGAAACAATGGAGCGCGATTCAATTGAGAGCGACAAGGGCGAGGGAGAACAAGAACAAGATCAAGAAGAAGAGGAACGACAACTAGAAGAAGAACAGGAAAAGGAAAAACAAGGAGCAATTCCAAAACAACCAAGGAAGACTAGGGGACGTGGAAAATCAAAGGAGTAAAAGCTTTTAGGCATAATTTAAAATGTAATTGAGATAAATGGAGAGGGTCTGGTAGGATGAATTCTTAGTAGAAAAAAAAAAGATAAGAATCAATGGGTAAACCAGAAAGAAAAGGAGGGAAGAAGGGATGAGAAGGGAATGATATCGTAAGGAGAAGATACAATGGGACATAAAGGGAGATACCCAGTGAGGGTAAATTTAAGTGG